AACCAACGCGGGACGATGCCCGAGGGGCCCACAAGCTTGAGGGGCGCGCGCCCTACCCTGGGCGTGGCCAGGAGGCTTGTGGGGCCCCTGTAAGGCGGTTGGCGCCCTTCTTTCGCCGCAAGAAAGATAATATCTGGATAAAAATTGTGTGAAAGTTTCTGCCCAATTAGAGTTATGCATCCCTGGGAATTTAAGAAACGGTGAAAGGCCAGAAAACAGGAATGCATAAACAGAAGGAAACAGAGAGAGAGAGGGAGGGAGAGAGAGAGAGATCCAATCTCGAAGGGGCTCTCGCCCCTCTGCCGCCATGGAGGCCATGGACCAGAGGGGAAACCCTCCTCTCATCTAGGAGGGGTCAAGGAAGAAGAAGAAGAAAGGGTGCTCTCTCCCCCGATGGCCTCGAAACGCCGTTGGGGCCATCATCGCGATCTACACCAACAACTTCGCCGCCGTCATCACCAACTCTCTCCCCTCTATGCAGCAGTGTAACACCTCTTCTCACCACTGTAATCACTACTTAGACATGGTGCTCAATGTTATATATTATTTCCCAATGATGTATGACTATCCTATGATGTTTGATTAGATCTGTTTTGTCCTATGGGTTAATTGATGATCGTGATTGGTTTGAGTTGTATGTATTATTTTAGTGTTGTCCTATGGTGCTCTCCCTCTCGCGCAAGAGTGAGGGGTCCCCGTTGTAGGGTGTTGCAATATGTTCATGATTCACTTATGGTGGGTGGCGTGAGGGACAGAAGCACAAACCCGAGTAAGTAGGTTGTTGCGTATGGGAGTAAAGAGGACTTGATACTTTAATGCTATGGTTGGGTTTTACCTTAATGATCTTTAGTAGTTGCGGATGCTTGCTAGAGTTCCAATCATAAGTGCATATGATCCAAGTAGAGAAAGTATGTTAGCTTATGCCTCTCCCTCATATAAAATTGCAATAACGATTATCGGTCTAGTTATCGATTGCCAGGGGACAAATAACTTTCTTGTGACAAAAAGCTCTCTACTAAAACTAACTTAATTGTTTCTTTATCTAAACAACCCCTAGCTTTTATTTACGTGTTCTTTATTATCTTGCAAACCTATCCTATCAAATCTACAAAGTACTTCTAGTTTCATACTTGTTCTAGGTAAAGTGAACGTTAAGTGCGCATAGAGTTGTATCGGTGGTCGATAGAACTTGAATGGAATGTAAATTCTACCTTTAGCTCCTCGTTGGGTTCGATACTCTTACTTATCGAGAAAGGCTACAATTGATCCCCTATACTTGTGGGTTATCACGGCCCACATTCGACGTGTTTCGACACAAATTCAAAAAAAAATATCACATAGTTCATCACAAAAATCAATACAAATCAAATAGTCCAACGAATCAAACTCATAATTCAAACACAAATAAAAATTCATATTTCATCACACGTGGAGTTAGGCGTTGCCCTTGAGCCTCCATAGGTGCTCCACCAAATCGTGTTGCAGTTCTTGATGCACTTGTGGGTCTCGGATCTCCTGACGCATATTGAGGAAGGCAGCCCAGGTTGCTGGTAGCTGGCGATCAACTTGAGCAAGAGGACCCTGCCTGTAATATGATTCAGTGTCAAAAACTGGCTCTTCCTGCTCGCTCTCAATGATCATGTTATGCAAGATGACACGGCAAGTCATGATTTCCCACATTTGATCTTTCGACCAGGTCAGAGTGGGGTACCGGACAACAGCAAATCTAGATTGGAGCACACCAAATGCCCGCTCGACATCCTTCCTGCAAGCCTCTTGACACTTGGCAAAGTAGGAGTTCTTGCCTCCTGGCACAGGGTTTGAGATAGTCTTCACAAATGTGGACCATCCCGGATAGATGCCATATGCTAGGTAGTATCCCTTGTTGTACTGGCGTCCATTGACCTCGAAGTTCAGCGGAGGAGCATGACCTTCAACAAGATTGGCAAAGACATTCGAGCACTGCAATATGTTGATTTCATTGTGAGTTCTTGGCATACCAGAGAAGGACTGCCAAATCCAGAGGTCATGTGTGACCACTGCCTCAAGTACCACACTTCAAGCTCCTTTGGCGCCTTTGTACATCCCCTGCCAAGAAAATGGACAGTTTTTTCATGCCCAATGCATGCAGTCGATGCTTCCAAGCACCCAAGGAAATCCTCTAGCTGCATTCTGTGCTAGGATCCGAGCAGTGTCTTCAGCATTGGGTAATCGCAAGTATTATGGTCCAAACACTACCACCATTGCCCTGCAGAACTTGTACAAACACTCAATGGTGGTGGACTCGGTCATGCATCCATAGTCTTCCAGTATATCACCGGGAGCTCCGTATGCAAGCAGCCTCATAGCCGTCGTGCACTTCTGGAGTGAGGTGAGTCCAAGTGTGCCGGTGCAATCCTTCTTGCACTTGAAGTAGCTGCCGAACTCCCGGATGAAATTCACAATCCTGAGGAAGAGCTTTCGGCTCATCCGATAATGGTGCCAAATTACTTTCTCGGTGCAGTGGGGCGTCGGCGAAGTAGTCGGCGTAGAGCAAGCAATAGCCCTCCAAACGATGCCTCTGCTTGCTCTTCTGGCGGCCCTGCGACGAGTCACCTTGCCACGGCTTTGCATTGCTCGCGAACAGGTCGGCTAGAGCGGCGAGGACCATGAGGTACTCTTCGTACTGGGTGTCGGCCTCGGCTTCCTCCTCCATCAGCGCCGCGAACGCCTCCTTGTCGTCCGAGTCCATCGCGCCGAACAGACAAACCCGCCGAATACCTGGCGGGCGTGGTAGGCGCGCATCCGCCAGTACTCCCGCCTGTGTGGCCGGAGCACCGGAAAGCTCCCCCGGGAGCGAAATGGAGGATGGCGCGGCGAACCCTCTCTTTCCGGCGGGAAATGGCCTTTCTGGCGGCGGTGGGCAGGTGGGCGTCGCCGGGATCGGCACGGCGGAGGAAAGGGGTAGCGTGCGCGGGAGTGAATCTGGACGTGGCAAAATCCTTTTTCGCCTGACAGGGGTGACCCATGCGCCGTTTTTCCTTCCACCGGAGCCGCCAAGCGCCCTCCAGTGCGCTAGGTTCGGCCTGGGATCGTCGGGCCAAAAAATGGGCCGAACCGGCGAAATTCAGCAATAATAATTCCCATTTTGACCAGCCTTACTCCCATTACGAGTGTGATATTTTTATTAGTGATTCTTATACTCCCTTCGTTCCAAAATAAATGTCTCTCAAAATAAGTGTCTCGACTTTAGTACAACTTTATACTGAAGTTAGTACAAAGTTGAGACACTTATTTTGAGACAGAGAAGGCAGTAGTTCTGTAAGTTGGGATAATTTCCCAAGCACTTGTAAAAAATGCCCTCGGCAGCAGCAGAGCCCGAGAGGCCGGAGCCAAGAAAAGGAACAGAGGAAGAAGCTACTAGAACAGAGGAACAGAGCCGCGCCGGCTCACGGCCTTGTGGAGGAGGCGGCGCGGGGCGCGACAGCGGACGGGAGGGATGCAGCCGCCTTCCTCGCGCCGGTGGGAGCTGCGGTTCAGGGATCTCTGGGAAATCAACGAGCCCGCCACCTGAAGATCTCCATGGCTAGCGACGCGGAGCTCGGGTACCTGCTGCGCCTGCCCGCTGATGGAATGGCCGTGACCGCACGCCGAGACGCTATTAGCTTTTCATTTGAATTATGTCTTACATTCTCAGGCTCCTTGAATTTTTTTCCTTCACCAAGCAACCAAAGATTGCTCTTGTTTTAACCGTTTGGCATGGCTTGTTATCGCTAGATCTAACTGTCATTTTAAGGTTGCTCAAAAATTCTCTTGGCACTTGTGAAAATATGAAGAGGGAGACCTGCTGCAAAAAGAATATGTTTTCCTTATATATCTTTCATTTTGTGTAATCATCGGCTGCCTTAGTTAGCATGGAACATACATGTCGAATCAGCAACCCCTCTTGCAGTAAACAAGATCTTCCTGTTCAAGTGATCACCTGATATCTTTGTTAGGCGTTGTGATTGGCTGCCGTCCAGCTGATAGATGTGGTTGATGAAGCCATGATATGGGGTGACTGTGATGTAGTGTTGGATTTTCTCTTTCTGTTTCACCAACTAATTCTAGAGAAAGGCTGTGTATGTGCTAGCAAGTGATGCTTACGGCTGTCCCTGTAATGAAATTGTCATTCACATTTCCCGTTGAGCAATTATATACGTACCTAATATAAGAGCATTTAGAATACTAAAATAGTGATCTAAACTCTTATATTAGTTTATAAAGGAAGTACTAATGAAAAGGAGGTTAACCTGGTTAGAAATACGCATGGATCGTTATGCTTTCAATTAATTTTTTGCACGGCGTGTCGGCTAAATTTGTCCGGGCGCGCTTGACAGTGATCAGTGCGTGTACATATACAGATACCAAATGCTGGCTTCCATCTGACGTGAACTACGTTTCTTTTCTTTGCGATCAAGAATCAATCCAGCTGCGGATTTTATTTCCAGCGAACGTCAGATTGACGATTGACGTTTCACAATATCGGCCAAAATGAATAAAATGCCTTGATGACGGTTCTAGAAAAAAGCAAACGTCAGACTGTCAGAACGCTAGCCAATGTCCTTGTTTTATACTCCCTTGGATCCATAAGTGTCATGGTTTTAGTTAGAATATAATAAATCTTTGATTACAGATTGGTGCTCAACAAAAGACCTTGCATATAAACTAGCACTAATTAACGGGGAATATAATTATTTATAAGAACCCAAAGAGAGGTTCGCAAAAGATTAAACAAAACTGACGTACATGGTAAACGATGTGACCATGTACCCTTTTAAGCGCCAGTATATAAGCATCTGCCATTATACATGCTGGTGGTACATGACTCCTTCATACAACGGGCATGTCGATATGTTATGGGCAAGACATAAGTGAAACAAACTCTTCCTTTCTTTCTCGCCCAGATATTATCCTGTATACGGTTTCTAGTTACAATCGCCAAAATGGTTAACCACGGAGCATCGATAAAAATAAGCAGCTCAATGAAGAGTATTCCGGAAAGCGGAAACTAGCCTCGGTGATAACAGCAGGAAGAAGGCCAGGACCGAGCCGAAGAACATCTTGGTCAGGTAATGCATCATATCCATGTCAGAGTCAGTATCCTTGACCTTTCTGGTCGTCATCGCAGAGGCAGATGGAAGGGCTTCGACGACAGCATCAGCAAGATCCGAGATGAAGGATGAAGTGCATCCAAGAGCTGGAACCCTGCCCCAGTTCTCAATGCCCGACTCTAGAGCCAACTCCCTGTACTCCATGTCGATTTCCTCCAGTGTCTCAATATGCTCGCTAACGAAGCTGGATTTGATTTTAGCAAATGATGTAAGCGTAGTCGAAAGAGGGTCGCGTGGAGTTAAAAAAAACAAAAGTCATGGTAACTGCAAGACAATGATGTACTTTGGAAAGTGCATGACTTGAAGATGTAGCTTCAACTCAGATAAACATATATGAAACCAAAATTGTGGTGCGAGAATGGCCACTGACATATTAATATTGACAGATACGGCAAATGACACCAACGCAATAAACACAAACAACACCACAATAAGCAAGTTGCAAACAGGTACATGATGGGAAGTTCAGGTAGAATTCACATAAGCACACAAAATGCTAAATTAAGATAAATTAGAGCTGGCCTGATAAAGTGATGATGATATTATAATAGTTGGAAATATTGCTACAGAAAGAGTAGTAGATGCACTTGAAATTGGTTCCGTTGATCAGTGTGAACAGAAGTCCACAAAACCAAAAAAAACAGATAAAGCTGCATCAAACACCCTTATTGTTGTCCTAAAAATACTGAACTGGTAGAGTATAAATGGTAAAGTTGATGATTACCTTACTGGGACAGCCAGGAGACTCTTTACACCCTTTTGACCAAGTTCAACTAAAACTTCATCAGTATATGGCTTAAGCCATTGAACTGGTCCCACGCGACTCTGCCATTGCGCAGAAAGGTTAATGTGGGAGCATTCGGTAAAGAAAAAGGATAAGTAAAAACTGTGTGATGTCTTCCACCATGTAGATTTGTAGGGTATTATGGTCAAAATTTGGTTTCTAGCTTCTAAGTACATAAGTATAACATTTATATCCTTGAAATTAGCTAAAAAAATGCTTTCATAACCCTTAACAGTGATTACAAGATAAGTATTTATTCATCATTTTCTCCTTACCTGGTAAGCCAGAGTATGGTCATTCAAGGTTCCTCTGGATTTCAACTCCTCCATGATCAAAGCAATGCAGTCTTCCATCTGATCTCTGTATGGATCTCCAGCATCCTTAACATAGGTAAGTGGTACTCCATGTGCACTGAAGAATATCATAACCTGCGAATTATGAAACATAACGTCAGAATGATATTACCTTCTATTCGTTATTTATTCAACAAAATTGCACTTGCAAAATACATTTCATCTCAGATTTCAAAATACTCTTCAACTTATAACATTATTCACACTCAAAAGTCCATATAAGTTATAAAGCATTAAATATTACAGGTCTTTTACTAACAATCTACTGACATAGCTATCCTGTGCTCAACCAGAAGAATAACTTTTGTAGGTATCACCGCTTAAATCTATCCAAATAACCAGAAATATTGTAGTGTACAACATCTGCTAAGAATGTTACAGTGAGATCACAGTATTGTTTTGACGATTACTTCATCAGAATACTGCTCTAAATTAGCTGCATATTTCTCTTTGCAGGTCATTTTTCAAGTGCCTAGCATACTTCAGTATTCGCAAAAATAAGAGGATGCTAAGCTAGTGACTGAGTCAATCTGCATTCTGTAGTACAAACTCATAGTTATATTCCTCATTTCTACCCAATTCAGTTAGAAGTAGTTGAAGTACCATTTCCACCCAATTCAGTTAGAAGTACTGGCAAGTAGGGCCGGACACTCAAGTATTTTGAGCGGGGGCAAATTACTCGAGTGGGGGCACTTTCTCTAAAAGTTCAAAAACTGACGCATCTTTCCTAAAAATATAAACAGATCTTATTGGAATATCAAAATTTGAGTGGCCCCCATTGACCTCAATGTGGCTTCGCCCCTGCTGGCAAGTAATGCAGCATGCTATTCTCTCAAATGATGGGGTAATGGTTATGCTGAGACTATAAATACAAATACATCTAATGATTTAATTACTACTTACTGTCCAGACTCCAGAGGCAGGGGCCTGTAAAAATTCTAAAGCACAGGCCCAAGGAAATTTCTATATGAAAGAACGTACAACACACCGAATGGCTATGCTGCAAGTTTGCAACTAATCCTACAGATCAACAACGACTAACAATACGTGAATTTTTTAAGAAACCCAGAAGCAAAACAAGGGATGTGCAAACCTCTTCAGGATTCGTAAAAACTGATAGTTCCTTCTCAATTAAGTCAGCCATTGATTTCACATAGCCCTCGCGCTGGTACCAAGATTCAATAATGGAAATTGGCAAGCCAGCAAAGTATTGATCTTCCCTGCATGAATGCCGCCATATCAGATTTTCAGGTTCTACATAGTCTGAAAAATGAGGTTTCATTAGAGAAGGTAATTGCCTACTTGACAATGTTTTGGAGAACGCGGATACTAGACCCGCTTGTTGATATGGAGTATTGAGGGTATAGTGGAAGAACCACAAGCTTCGTAATTTTATCCTTCTTAATCTATCATCAATCAAAATAGTAGAAAAACAGTAATCATCAGTTAAAAATATGGAAATCACTTAGATAAAACCATAGTACAAAATTCTTGTCCCTAAAAATGTAATACATGTTGCAAGATAGTCAAGAACGTGCAAAAAATTAAATAGTTAAATTCAACAAAAAGTAAAAGACAATCATATAAAAATGAAAATAAGATGGACGGTGACAATGAGATATCAATCTAGAACAAGTATATGAATTAATTACCACGGAAGCATAATAATTAAACAAAAAGACCAAGAAACTATTGTTGCCACTTACAGGAAGAACAAAAGGATTAAAGGCCTTTAAATTCGATTAGGGAGGAGGTCTAACCTGATCGATGGCTTCTTCGGTGAATGGGTACCAATAACGCATTCCAACATATATATCTGCTTCCAAGTTCTTACTTTTTAGTGCAACCTTCAAAGCATTTGCCTGCAGATAAAGTAATTCAGCTAAGAATGTGATAAATCTATTTTATTAAAACAAGTAATACTGAATATGATATATGCAACTATGGTGAAAGTTACAGAGTTTAACGAGTTTGTGGAAAAGCTGCTAAATCACAACTATATGGCTGTTAAACACACAGAAAAAAAAACAGTGTGGTTAGACTGATGAACTTTTACCTGCTCGTCGGTAATTTTCCGCAGAGGTGATCCACCACCAATTGAGGCATACCCCTCTTTACTCTTAGGAGCTCTAAAAGTAGAAATAAGTTTGGCCAGTGGTCTTTGAAGAAACCTGAACAGCCTAGGGAGTCGGATGATATCCTGGGTAACAATTATAAAGTCAAAACTGAATTACCCAGTTGAAAGTACTGAAATCAAACAATAACACAACTACACAAGATAATTAAGAAACAGATAGGGCTATGTGGTTCACATTGGGATAACTACCATGCAAAGGACAGCCAGAGATAACATGACTTGTGATGAACAAGAGGCCATAGACTAGGATGATGAGTTTTATACTCTAGAGACTTAATTCTCTACTATCTCATCCAAAATGATGCATGGCTCTCCCTTTTATGGCTTCTTCAAATATATCATGGTCTACTCAATCTCTTCAGATGGGACAGAGATTTTGAACTTAAACCTGTTTCAATTCGAAGTGAACAGTTCTAGTCCATCCGTATCCAAATAATGAAATAATCTTTTATAGGGAGGGCATGATCCCTCCTAAGAAAAAATCCCATGTATCTACAGAAGTTAATCTCTACCAGTGAAACAAATGCTCTGAGGGGGTAAACCTAACTAAGAAGAGAAATAATCATTGGTTACACATAATTAGCAAGGAACATGTGAAGTTGCATTGGAAATTAAAACTATAGCATGTGGTATGATCACTTACTGGATCAGCAAAGAGGTTGAACAAAAATGGTTGAACATCATTGAGGGTCTCTGGACCACCAAGATTTAGTAACAGCACTCCAATCTTTTCCTCAACAGCATGTGAAGATACACCTTTGACATCTTCATCAAAAGTAGTACATACATCGGTAGAGGTGGATCTCACAGAAAGATGGTGCTGATGTTTAAGTACTGCACTTCTGTGAACCAAACCAGAGGTTCCCCTTGCTTTTCCACTTGCTGACAACAGCAAGGGTTTAACCTTCCCATGCAAGTTTTGCTCGCATTTGGTAGAACCAGCAAGGTTTGTAGAACATCTGACTTTACCACATGACCTGTCAATGGTAGCACAGTCAACCAAATAACATAACAAAAACAAAGGTTACACTGTATTTCTCCAGGGGAAATGTCATGTGAGTGTAAACTTTAGCACATCTCAAAATGCAATCAGAAGCTAGATCAATCTATCAACATTATGCTAAATTTATCGCAAATTCACTACAAACTATCTACTGACAGCAGGTTTCTTTAAGCAATATCAATCACCAATTGATCAAATATACCTCAGCAATCATGTCTCCTAAACTCATGAAATTATGTGTTCTGCACATTCGACAGGACAGTGCATACTTTCAGAATTTGATTAACTTTTTTACAGACCATTAGGACTCCAGGCACCTGTCTCTACGTTCCGTCACCTCTAACAAGACATTTTGATTTTGGTACTAAACATTAATTTTACTCCAGCATATGTCGAAATGTGTGCTGCTCCACGGATGTTCAGAAATGAAAAACTGCATCCATTACGGGTTTCAGGAGCTCCAAACAATTAACTGATTCCAGGATTCGCCACAAGATCCTCACTCCGGAAACAGAACATTGTAGCAAGTGCACACATGTTTTTTTTTATATTGTGTTACTCTACGGTCGCACTGCAGAACTAATCCAATTTTGGTGCCAGATCACAACTGAACCATCACAAAATTCTAGTGACCGCGACAGCGCCATAACAAAAACCGAAACCCCCGACCGAAATCTACTTCGCGCCGGCGGCACCACCCCCGCCATCCAGATCAGCGATCAGCGATTAAAAAGAACAAAACAAACGAACGAATGAACGGCGAGAAGCGAAGGGCACTCACGTCGTGGAGCCGCTCTTCCCCAAGAAATTCCCGGAGCGCCCCAGATCAAGAGCTCCGGAGCGGACGCACTCCATGGAGGACAGAGCGGGGCTGGGCGCGGAGGACGGAGGAGATCTGCGGCGGGTTGCGACTCTGGCGTCTTCTTCCCCTCTCTCCTCTCCCTTTCTGGAATCAAAGTTTCTTCGCTTCTCAGTCTGGGTCAAATACGGCAGCGAATCGGCAACTACCCTCTCCCTCGCCCATTCCTTCGCTCACGTTCTTCCACGGAGGCTGTAGGGCCCACACGGAACTGGGCGCACCGGATCCCGCCGCGCGCTAATCTTGGAGCAGGTTTCACTTGCTTTTTGTGCAACAAATAATTATTTTTCGAAAATGATCCAGATTTATTATCAAAGTTCACCGGAAGTACAAAGCACCTCAAACGTAATAAAAAATAACATCAAGATTCCGAGACCACCGAACTACCACTACCGCCGTCAGAATAAGTCGTCGACGCGCTGCTGTCGTTGTTCCCCTATCGGAGGCGACTTGACCTTGTCGATGACAGCCAGAAAGTCTTCATGCACGTACCCCTAAGGACCAGCGCCCTGAAGCCGCAATCATTGTCGTTGAACTCCCAAATAGACCTGAAACAACTGACACCAAATCACAGAAATATAAAAAAAAAAGTGTATGCACACATCATATGAGCCCACATAAGTAAATACTAAAGCAGCGCTAGCAAGTCATTTTTATCAGTTCATCTTCACTAATTTTCTTAAAAAAGGATTGTCATTAATCGATGAGATTAGGAGTACATCTCTTAAGCTATAGTTACGACGTAAAGTTTTTTGAGTAGGGTGTGTGTATGCTTTGAGTAGTACTAATATTATAATCGGTTAACTATTAATTGTATAAGACCTTTTTGTTCTTTGTTCTTTGTTTTTTTAAGGAAAACAGTATTTTCGGAATGGAGGGAAATATGTAAAGCAAGTCAAGTAAAATGGTGGTGTTGGTGCATACAAGGAAGAGTTTATTGCAATGGTGGAGATGAAAAGGGCATTGACAGTCAATGGAAGGAGGAGGGGATGGCTTGTTTCTATGAGATGAAGGCCATAGATGAGTACAAGTGGAAGGCAAAGGTGATGACAGCGGATAGAAACACGCTAGCATAGGAGAAAAGGTTTGGGTTTGAGGAGAAAAGACTTGCATTGGAATTGGAAGAAAAAAATGCTTGACATTGAGGAGCAAAAACTTGCAATGGCAACCGTGGAATGAAGAGAAAAGAGGGTGGTTGAGGACCATGCTATCATGTTCATGGATCCCAGTAAGATGGACAAGAAGGTGAGGCAATTAGGGAGTTCACTCGTGGGACATCTTAATATGGTTGTAATTTTTATTACCTTTTGTGTTCTCTGTACTGCCGTGATTGATGAATAGATTGAAAATTTCTACAACAACAACAACAACAACAAAGCCTTTAGTCCCAAATAAGTTGGGGTAGGCTAGAGGTGAAACCCATAAGATCTCGCAACCAACTCATGACTCTGGCACATGGATAGCAAGCTTCCACGCACCCCTGTCCATAGCTAGCTATTTGGTGATACTCCAATCCTCCAGGTCTCTCTTAACGGACTCCTTCCATGTCAAATTTGGTCTACCCCGCCCTCTCTTGACATTCTCCACACGCTTTAGCCATCCGCTGTGCACTGGAGCTTCTGGAGGCCTGTGCTGAATATGCCCAAACCATCTCAGACGATGTTGGACAAGCTTCTTTTCAATTGGTGCTACCCCAACTCTATCTCGTATATCATCATTTCAGACTCGACCCTTCCTCGTGTGGCCACACATCCATCTCAACATACGCATCTCCGCCACACCTAACTGTTGAACAAGTCGCCTTTTAGTCGGCCAACACTCATCGCCATACAACATTGTGGGTCGAACCGCCGTCCTGTAGAACTTGCCTTTTAGCTTTTCTGGCACTCTCTTGTCACAGAGAATGCCAGAAGCTTGGCGCCACTTCATCCATCCGGCTTTGATTCGATGGTTCACATCTTCATCAATACCCCCATCCTCCTGCAACATTGACCCCAAATACCGAAAGGTGTCCTTCCGAGGTACCACCTGGCCATCAAGGCTAACCTCCTCCTCCTCACACCTAGTAGTACTAAAACCGCACATCATGTACTCAGTTTTAGTTCTACTAAGCCTAAACCCTTTCGATTCCAAGGTTTGTGTAACGCCCCAGATATACTTTCCATATTTGTATCCAATTCTTGCCGTCTCCGGCGCTAAGTTATATTTATTTCTCGGGTTTGGGTCTTTGTCTCCGTGTGTTGTTTTTTTCTTTTTCGTGCGTCTCTTATCATGTCATCACGTGCATTGCATTTGCATACATGTTCATCTCATGCATTCGAGCATTTTCCCCGTTGTCCGTTTTGCATTCCGGCGCTTCGTTCTCCTCCGGTGGTCATTTCTAGTCTTCTTTCGTGTGTGGGGTTTAAACATTTCCGGATTGGACCGAGACTTGCCAAGCGGCCTTGGTTTACTACCGGTAGACCGCCTGTCAAGTTTCGGGTCATTTGGACTTCGTTTGATACTCCAACGGTTAACCGAGGGACCGAAAAGGCCTCGTGTGTGTTGCAGCCCAACACCCCCCAAATTTGGCCCAAAACCCACCAAACTCTGCTCCATGT